TGTTCAGACAGCTGGAGTTGTGCTGCTGATTGTTCAACTAATCATCCGCTCAATTACTCTGGAATGTGAGGCTGTGCCTTGTTATGACTGATCAGCTTTCTTTCTCTCACTCTTACTTTTCATCCTTTTTTTTTTCCTGAACTCTGACTTTGTTTGGCTGGCCAAAACATCTGTTTTCTATGGCTTTCATTCTGTTTCTTATTTCTTCAGGCTTCAGTTCAGCTCAGTTTGTTGCAATTCTTTTGCGTTCAGTTAATCTTGTTTTAGTTGATTTAGTTTTCGCTAGTGTAACACTGAAAACTTGCAGTGGAGTTTATTTGATTATAATCTGGTCAGACATTACATTTGAGAGATTTAAAAAAATATATCATCACACTACATTTACTCAGAGTGCCTGAATATTACTGCAAAGAGTGCCTTGAAGTAATATTCAAACTCTTGACTCTATATAATTTCAATATACATACATTATATAATTTGTTGAAGTCACAAAAACAAACATTGTTGAAATTTACTGGTATTTTATATCACAGACTAACAGAAAGTAACAGGAAAACGATACTTTTCCTCAATTTCCTGATTCTACAAAAATCTAAACGGCGTGTCATCGATTTATAATTACCCCATTTTGTTATGACATGTCTATATAAAATCCAGTGCAACCAAATGTCTTCAGAAGTTACCTAATCGGTAATTGTGATTCACTTGTGTGTAAATAAAGCCTTTTATAAATACCTATGTGAGGTCCTCGCGTTTGTGGGAACATTAACGCACAAAACATCATGAGGATCAAAGCATGCAGGAGCCAGGTCAGGGATAAAGTTATATTACAAACAAAATGTCAACCTTCCAAGATCTCATACAGAACCACTGAGCTGCTGACATTCACAGTTGAGAGAATCTGATACAATTTGCTAAAAGCTACGTAAGGGACGCAGCAGACATGTGGAAGAAGATAATTTGTTCAGAATGAGCTTTCAGAAAACTAACACTAATGGAGTCATGCAAAGGGGATTGTTTTCTTATCATTATGTTATAATATGATATACAAATCTAAAGTGTCAAAATGTCAAACACATGCAAAGCACTTAATCCTGCTAAGCTGTTTAATAGTTGCTCATATTGTTGTTTGATTTGAATAACAAGATAAAAACATTTATCAGACTGATATGCTAAATTAACAGATACAAGAAAAAAAAATTAGAACAATCAAAATTTTAGCTTACTCTTTTACAGAAATTGTTTAGTTTGAGGTGGTATCAAAAATGTTTAAGATGAGATGTGGCTGTTGAGTTTCAGCTCTATAATTTAAAAAAAAAATGAAAAAGAAAATTAAACTATTTTCTGTTATTGTTAAAAATAAACATAGCTCTTTGTCATAGAAATTACATGAAGGGTACTGATGGAAAAGGCAATTATGTCAACAAGGAGATGAGGACCCAGAACCAGAAATTGGCTCAGAGTTTATACTTTTCTCTTTTGTTAAGGCTCAGTGCAACATTGATGCATGTGGTTGTGTATACCTCAGTTTATAATTGAGTTTTTCCAATTTAATAGTACTTTTGAACTTGATTGCCAGTGAGGGAAAAAAAAATACAAAGTACATCTGTTTATATGGATGTACTTGTTTGTAGGACCACAAAATCTCCGCTAAATGAGAAAGGGTTTCAAACACATGTTTTATATTGTTTTCCAAATCATAAGCTGCTTAAAGAAGCATTTAAGAATACACTGAATAATTTCAGTATCAGCACAAAACAATGACTGTTTGATGTTTAATCAAAATTTTATGTTAAACACACAGAGTTTCCTAAATTTCTTCTCCTTGTTAATCTTTATAACTATGTGAACATAGTTTTACAAATATTCAAGGAGCGTTTTGTACTGTCTTCCTGCAGTGGAAGTGCCTGTGGTGATTCTGCAAGGCTGCCAGTGGGATGCCTGTTAGCATGTTAGTGCACTACATGCAGATTCAGAGGCTACAGGCTAATGCTAATGAGGTGCCAGACTTTTAAATGCTCCTGCAATGAGCCCAAACATTGGTGGGAAACACATTTTGGACAAGCAAACTTCACAAAGACAGTAAGAAAAGTGGTCATTATTGTTTCTTTTTTTATATAACAAGACTTTTAGACATGAGTTCCACACTATTGGACTGTTACAATTTCTAAAGCAAATTGTTTCAAGGGTTTTGAACTACATTTTGTTTTGAAAATCTGACTATAATGGATCCTGTAAACAAGTGAGCAAAAGATTTCTTTAACACCACTGCCATCCAAACTTTTCAACTTTATTAACAACTATCAGTCATGCTTAATGGATCCCTCCACATTTACACTCACAAACTATTAATCTGTTTACTATACTGTTTTCTTTCAGGTGGTAAAATGTAATCTTTTATAGAAGTACGACAGTCCTGTTGAAATCTGAGTGTCATCTTTAATGGTTAAAAGAATGTTATAGGAAAATAGATGCAATACATTTGTGGAACAAGAACACTGTTATTGTGGATAAGTTAAAACCTGATGCATACACACACTCTTGTAAAACTGTCTGAGGAGCCAAAGCATGCAGAAAAGTACCATTTCGGCTGCTTCTACCCACTGACCACTCTATAGCATAACATGTTCCTGTGAGAAAATGTGAGACATCTATATCAAATCTATGCTTTTCTTGATTTACTGTAAAAATTTGTGCCAGTGGTTTTCTTTGTCATTTAACAAGCATGTCTGTCTAAAGCATGAAGAAACATGAAACTTAACATGAACACGGTTTCAGTGTTGCACAGGCTCCATCCATAAAAGAATTATGTTTTTAACTGACCGTTCACAGAATGTGTTTTTTTGTTATCTAATGCTTTGTGTTTGGGAGAATTATAACAACGGAATGCCAACATTATAAACATATTCTTGAGAACTGAAGAGAATTCAGAACAGTAAACAGCTAACTTTTAAATGTGTCCTCTCCCTTCAGCTACGTGTCTTTTCCTTCCAGTGCATTAAGATTTGTTGATTCTCCATCTGGACATGCAGCTGCTGTGTTCCAGATTTAAAGTCCCACTGTTTAGTGGAGATGAAGAATGAGATACGTGGGAGCTGAGGCTGGAATGTTGCTGGGTTGGTACTGCTGGTCATACCACCTGGTCAGGCCACTCATGGAAAAAGAAAACACATGCAGTAGATGTGCTTCAGTCACACCAGGGAACTTCATATTGATTTACACTGAGCTGCTGGGGACTTAATCTAACGTCAATTAAGAGATTCATATCTTATCAAAGCAGTCATTTTGTTGTACATGCCGTCATACAATAGAACAGTCAGTTGGCTTTCGAAAATTAGGAGTTTTGAAGATGCTTACTGCACAAATTCACTATGCAGAGACCAGGAAGCACCAGTCAGAATACCTCAAAAGATCCAACTCTAAAAAACGTTGCTAATGTTTGCCCTTCTCTCCAACTCGGGGTTACTTTATGTATCACCAATATCACCAACGTGAAAGATGAATGAGTTTTTAGAGTGAAGTAGGTAATATAATATCTTCTTCTGTATTATTTGTCATTTTTCTACTGGGATATTACATGTCATCTCTCGACTCCTCACTCAAAAAGCTTTCTGTCATCTAAACCAACTAATAGAGAAATGTACCTGGATTGTGCCTCAAAGACCTTTAGCATTGATGTGCGCAATGTATGCTGTTCTGTCTGTACCAACAAAGAAAATCAAAATGTAAAAAATATCCCTAATTGTATCAGTAAACAATGACTGAATGCTTTTTTTCTGTTTCTCTTTTTGATGCTTTGTCTATATATTTTAAATTGGAGTCAAAGGTCATGTTCAGTCTTACTGAAGGCAGATTATACAGTTAGGAGTAAACTTTCAAAAGGAGTTGCACATGGATGACATAGATAGCTGAAGCATTATATCAGTGAAAATCAGTTTTCCTATCTTAAAAAAGTTAACCACATAAAATTAAAAAGTGCTTTCATATCTGTTAAAATATTGGTAAAGTTGCAGATTACATTTGTATATAGAGTTTACATTATTCAGATACTAAAATATTTCCTAGATAGACTTAAGATATATTTTTCATTTTCCTCGTTCAGTAGTTATACTGACATGGTAACACTGTCCGACACTTCTGTAGTAATTTTACATGCCTTAGCTTTCTTTTCAGACCAAGATCATGCATGAAGATTTTTTTTAATGCTGAATTATTGTAATGTATTTAGCTAACTGCAACCAAAGCCAACCACTGTATTTCCATGTTTGTGTCTGTGCACGCGAGTAGTCTGGTTCAGCCTAACAAACTTCCTATCCAGACAGGAAATGCATTCTTTTGTGCCCAGTCTGGAAATGTGTGTGGATGTTTTCAGTACAATAACTGCCTTTGGAATGCAGCAAACTCCCTGCAAGAGTGTTTGTCAGCAATGAGCTGATTTAGCCTAGTTTAGACAGGTTTCCTTGTTTGCTTTTTTTTTAGGCTTTACTGAAATAAAGACACGTTTTCTAATTTTTTTTATTAATTTATTATATTCAACATAAAGCAACTGTATTTGAATTACACATTTCTGAAGACAAATAAGCATAGAAGTCAATTAAGCAACAGTTTTCGTACACCATTCACCAAATAACAGTTTAGCATGGTAAACAACACACACGCAGCAAGGAATTTACAGTAACAAACATTAACAATGCGCCAATAACGTGGATCAAAAATCAAGCTCTTTAAACAGAACTCCTTGGTCTCACATTAAAAGTCAAAAAGATTTGCACCACCAAAAGAGTTTTTTCTATTCCTACAGCTAGTAGTCTTTTGTCATCATTTAAGGGGTCGTGACAGGTCGCCACTGCATCGTTGTCACACCAGTACAAGCCTGAGTTCATTTTTATTAGGACTGTGAGGACTCGTACATAAATGAAACTGTAGGTAGTGTTCTTCATCTACATTTTGCATTACAGTGCTGGTCATGCAGCCATAAGGTCACATAGTTAGTCCTTTTCTGGTGTGAGCAGATAGTCCGTCTTAAGCTCATCCACTAGAACCAAATGGATGTCTTCATCTTGGTCTGATCAATAGCTGCAGAGAAAAAAAAGGAGATTTTTTTGTTTTACTTTCCATTACCAATTGCACATATTAGTGTCCAAGTAAGAAATTGTTGGGGCCACCTGTCTGATTCTGAGCTGAACAAAGTCTGGTATAATACATTAAGATCAGGCAAGTAATCCAATGGCAAGTCTGACAGGAGACTTTCCAAACTGAGACTTGGGAAATCTTCAGAACTTACCACATTTGATTTTGTTGCACAAATTAGTTTCACACAAAATCTATAGGTTTAGGTTTGATGAACTCTTAGTGCACTTAAAGCTGACTAAAAGGTCCCAGCTAATAAGACAAATTGATAGTCAGCAACCCTTACCAAAGAAACTGTGTAGTAACTTGAATAGTGTTTGGCTAAGAAAGCAGCAACAGAATTTGCAAGTTTCCAGCCAAACTGAAACATTTAACATTCACTAATGTGGATCAAAAATCAAGCTCTTGGTCTCACATTAAAGTAAAAGCCAAAAAGATTTGCACCAACAAAAGAGTTTTTCTATTTCTACAGCTAGTAGTCTTTTGTCATTATCTGAGGGGTCGTGACAGGTCGCCACTGCATCATTGTCAGTACAAGCCTGAGGTAATTTCCATTCGGGCAGGTTGGGCTGGCTGCCTAACCTGAGAGCAGGGAAGGTTAACCAGGTTGTTTTAACAATTCAAATTATGTTTTAAATAGATGGGCTGTTTTAAAATACCTGAGTCGTAAGTCTCCAGTGATCCATGCAGGGCCGGAGGGGTCCAGGAGACAGAGGCTGCAGAGATAGGGCTGTTGCTACCGAGATCTAGCTCCGCTTTGCCCCCGTCACTGTGTGGGGAGCTACCAGGGCTGGTGGCAGCTTGACTTTGGCTCCTAACGCCCGGCAGCAGCAATGCATTGAATCTGGGATCCAAAGCTGGGCTGTGGGGTGAGTACGAATGAAGCATGGAGTGATGGTGCCTGGTGTGGATGTGGGGGTGGGACCGTGGGTGCGAGTGGTAGACATCATGAACATTAGGATAGCCACTTGTGGCCTGGGGACTCAGACTGTAGGTCCAGCTGTCAGAGAGTGAAGCTGGAGATGGGATGCTGGCTTGGGAAAGCACATGGCTGGCCCACAGCGCTCCATCTGGATGACTGAAGGAAACAGGGCTGGAGGAGAACTCTGGGTGGACTGAGGAGGAAACCGATGCCAGACAGGAACTGACTTGAGGTGGGAAAGGACTGCTCCAAGATGAAGTGCCCTGACCATCAGGATGGGAACCACCATCTAAAACAGTCAAAAAATGTTAACACAAAGCCATAGGATTTGTTTTCCCCATCTTCTTTTTTGTTCAGTGAGAAACTTTATATTCTTACCTTTCCATAGGTTGTTAGTGGCTGTGCAAGTGACCTGAGTCACTCTAATGGGCTTGCTCTCAACACTAAAGGAACTGGGTTGACTGAGAGCACGGGAGAAATGTTCGTCCACAACGTCCCCAATGTCGCCTTGAAAGTAGGTGAACAACACACACCGCGAGCTCAAGTATTCTGCCTCAGCTGGTTGAGTACTGTCCTTTAACTCTGATTCAGCAGAGGATCTAGGACTTGATTCAACAGTTGCTGCTGCAGGACTCTGCTGAACACCCCGATTGTTCTGCAACATCCCTCTCATTCCTCCCTGAGGTGGCTCCTGCTGCTCTGTACACTCCTGCATCTTGTTGTAAGCACTTAACTTTCTCTGGAGGAGAGAACCAAAAAAAAGACAAAGAAATGTATAGACAAACAAATTAGTTCTAGACCAGTGTTTCTCAACCCTGGTCCTCACCAACCCCCCCGTCCTGCATGTTTTAGGTGTTTCCCTTCTGCCACACACCTGAATTGTATCTCTGGGAGATTAACAGGATTCTGCAGCACTTGATGGTCATGCAATCATTTGAATTAGCTGTCCTGGAAAAGAGGCACATCTAAAACATGCAGAGCAGGGGGTGGGGGGCGGTGGGGCGGTGAGGACCAGGGTTGAGAAACACTGGTCTAGACCTTGAAAACTATAGACAGAATAGATTTAAAATGTTCTGTGGTGCTAATATAAGTGGAATAAACTTGAATATTTTACCAACATAACATATTCAAGTCACACCACCAGTTAGGGGTCAGGTGGGCAAAGTCCACAATGAAGTAATGATATTGGGAAATCAAGTGATGGTGAAGTTTTCAAATATTGCAACATGCTGCAATGTTGTTGTTTTTTTTTCATCATGGAAAATATTTACACTTTTTAACACCTTTGCCTCTCAACTATTATTACCATGTTCCCAATACTCTCATTGGCCATTAGCATATTTGGTGCTGCATTCTATAATTTATGGATCTACTGCAGTGACCCTTCAATCAACAGGCTGTATGTCTTGTTGTTAAGTAAAGCATGAACTGCTGAGCCTAATGTCTAACACACATTGTGTTCTGATGTGCACTATCAACAATGTATACACTTACTTATTAAATACAATTTCTTAAAAATTTTGGGATATAATATGCAGTCTTAATGTACACTCCTATTAACACTGCAAGACAGTTTTGAGTGGATGTTTTTTTTTTTTTAGCTTTAATTAAAAAAAGAAAAAGGCAAACTTTGGTGAGTGGTAATATGTATTTGTTGATGTTAATGTGTTTTCTCTTTTGTCCTTCATTATTCCAGTTTATGTCATTGACTGTTGGTCTGTCGCCTAAAAGATGACAGGATCACTTATTTATGTCATAAATTTAGGAGAGCAACAGAATTATAAACTGATTGACACTAACATTTGCACGTGTCAGAAACTCGAAAACATGAATTTAAGTTTTAAAAACTTCAAAAGACAAACACGTTTATTTTTTAAAATAAACTTTAACAAACTTCTGAAATTCTGTCGTAGCTTTTGGTTTTGGTGTCACATCTCAAGAATATCAACCAACCCTAACCAAACTTTTTTGGAGAAGTGTCTGCCATTAATAACTTGTTTTACTAAAGCAATCTAGGAGTCGTGTGAAGATAACTTTTTTTATTCACAAACTGCATTCCAGCTATTTGTCATGCTATGGTCCACATTCCTATGTGAGTGACTGGCTGTCATTACATCACTGTCTGACCGCAGGATTAATCGCTCTGTGTCATTACGCCTGACCTGAAGTGAATACAGAATCCTAGATTGGAATTTAATCATTGAAAAGTCAAATAAATCAAAGGCGACAGATATGAAGATGCTGCCTGTATTACTCCTAGTTTAGCTTTTCAAAGCTTAATAGTCACGATTATAAAATTCAGATCTTAAATCCCCATTAGCTTTTCAGGAAATAATGATTTTCTTAAATCTGAATTAAAACTCCGAGAGAAAGTAAATAAAAGCCCTTGTCTCTTGCGCAAATAAAAAAAAAGTACTTGTATCAGCGTCTCACCTGTTGTTGCTGCTGATGGTGGTTATAGTATGTCGCCTTGTACGCAGCTGCGGGGAGGTAGTGCGCTCCATAGCTTTGGTGGTACATCACATCCAGGCAACTCATAGCGAGGAAGCCAATCACTTTCGAAAGATAGAGAAAGTCACATGAAAGCAAGAAAAGAGCCGAGAACAACTCTCCTTGAGACTTTAGACGGGCGGTGTCCTCCGAGCCTGCAGCGGCTCCATATATGCCCAATCGCATACAATGGCCATGCCGTCCAGTTTGCATACAAACAATGCGCCTCCCTGCTGTGCGCTCCACCAGCACCACCCGGGGCTATGAAATGAATCTAAACGGTGTAAGACTCACGGTATATCCGGGAACATTCTTTCCTGACAACTTCCCAGATTGCTTTTGATCGAGAACGAATTCCGTTCTGTCTTTTTCTCTCCTTCTGTTTTGAAGGGGAGTTATATTTAGAGAGGGCTGTGGCCATTACGCACGCCCACCGGGGAAGGGCCTGCGATAGAGAATCTCTAAACTGTTGGCATTGACACTGCGGGTTTCCACTCAGCAAAGTGGACAGGTGCAGCTCAACTTTTAAGAATATTGTCAGACAGTTTATGTCATAAATGCAAATCAAAAAGTGCAACTCATTTATTATACGGCTTTTGTGTCTGTTAGATTTGATGATTGTGGTATACAAAAATTAAAGCTCAAAATGAAGCACCTCAGAAATTTAGATTTTTTTAGATTGCGTTTCTGGAGCACTCTGTCACTCAAGGAATTTAACTCTCAGTAGGAACTGAGGTGTATGTGGTGGGCAGTGGTTAACAAGAAAATCACTGTTGGTGGTGACTTATTTATACTGTGGTATGTTCAGCTCCAAAACACCTCAAATCCAATGGCCTCAAATCCAACTTTACTCTTTTCCAGTTCTAAAATAATATTAACCTCCTGAGACCCCGCGTCCTCATATGAGGAC